ATATGCTTTAGTTTTTCGATATTCTTTAGGTTTAGATTTTGTTGTGCCATTCACAATATTGTTTTAATATAAATTTCAGAATTTATTATAGATCGTAGTTGGATGAAAGCTGATAGATTAGGTTTGGTATATGAAAAAGGAGTTCTTTAATTTCTTGAATACGTTGATTAAAATCTTCCTGACAATAATTGTATCTTTTATTGTCCTTGTGTTAATTGCAGAAATATAAAGAAAGGTACAAATGATGAGATATTCCATCACATATGTTGTGATGGTATATGTCAAAATTATACAATATGGACGTGGCATGGTGTGGTGGAAAAAAATCGACCACAATATTTTTAATTAATGTAAGTCATTATTTTTAAGTATATTTACTAAGTATGATTATTTGAAATTGTAAGTCATTAATGTAAGTCATTATTTGAAATTTTATTCTTTATTCATAATTTAATTAATGTAAGTCATTATTTCTAAGTATATTTACTAACAAGTATGATTATTTGAAATTGTAGGTGTTTAAAGCCAATATGCTAAAGACAAAAAAACAAAACACTATAAGATACAATTATGTGATGTTATATAATGTTTGTAGGTTGTTTTATGCCATTTTTCTTTTGATGTAATACATATACAATGTTTGGTTCTTAATACAATGTATGAACTTGATGTAATACATATACAACGTTTGGTTCTTAATCCAATGTATGACTTTGATGTAATACAATACAATTCTTCATTATGATACAAACATACAGTTGTTGTTTCTGTTCTGATATGATTAAAAAAATACAGGTTAAAAAATGAAAAAAATTTCAAAATGCAGAAAAATTATTTTAAAAAAAGCATATAACTTAACGACGGCTGTAATATATAACCGTGGTTGTATAGTGAACGCTGTCCAAAATAATATATTACACCAAAAGATGCGCTGCTGAGAATCGAACCTAGTATCTTTAATATATTACAACAGTTAGTTATAGCAACTGTGATCATATATAACGCGCTTTTAGGTTTTCTACAACGGTCATAAGACCGCGATTGTAAGTAGCGCATATACAACCACACCCTACGCAACAACGACATGTCACACTTGATGTTATCTCTTTTCCAACCGTTGTTGTATATGTTTTTCGTAGTAGTGACCCGATGATATTGTAGGAGTAGTTATTTCAACAGAGGTTAAAACAACCACATCTCTAGCCGTTGATCTGATAGGTTGTTCTTCTGCATTTTGGAAATTGTCTGGGACTTAGAAATATGAAAGTTATTCGAAGTTGGATGCTTCATTTCAAGTAGGGTTTTACCACTTCTCAAATGCATACATACATAACCATTGAGAACATTTCATACATGAAGAATAATTTGTAATATGAAAAACACAACACTTATGAAATCTGAAAATTTTACACAAAAGGGTCCCACTAGGCATGCCAATTTGTTTACCGGTGTTTTTGGTAAACATTCACTTATTTTGAATAATTACTTGCAGGATTAAAGTAGAAAATCCTATGACATTTTGCGCATAATTTCTGGAGAAAAAAATGTTCAAGTTTCTTTGTGAGTTTAAAGTTAAAGGTTTAATAAAGTAACAAGACAAAAGTTTGAAAGTAAAAAGAAATTAAAAGTTTCAATTATGTCGAAATTTACTATGAAATAAATTAAGAAAAGTAATAAAAGGGCTAAAACAAATTGAAGAAAAAGGTAAGAGTTATTTAAAATACATAAATGAAAGTTGAAGCATAGAATCATACATATTTCTAACAAACTCGTTTCTCGATCTGACTTGGGTATTTTGAGTTCTATAGAGATTTTATAATGATATTGCCACCCAATTTCTAACATTAGAACCAATATATATATATATATATATATATATATATATATATATATATATATATATATATATATATATATATATATATATATATATATATACTAGTATAGAAATAACTGTCCAGAACAATTATGACTTCAGTGTTCAACATGTAACCCTCTACGAACTTTCCAACCTTCTATCTTGTTTTCACGTGTCTTCGACATCTAGATAAGAATTAAAAAAAAAACAATTACTCAATCTAATTCTTTTATCTTGTCCCAATCGTCATAGTTGATGACTCAATTTATCAAGTCACGGGGAAAAACATTCTCATAATTGAAAAAAATGCTAAGTTTAACTCATGGCCAGTGTATCAAGCTCAGTATCATAGTCGAACGTTAATCTTTTCGCATTCATAACCATATGTCCTCATATTTAACTAAATATTGTCTTATCATCGTATTCTTTTTGCGGAATTCAGAACGTCCAGAATTCTAATGTCAGGTCAAACTTTAGAATAGGATGATAAAATCTTTAAAAAGAAAGGAAGTTTTACCCCATACCCCTACACTTATACCTATACCCCTACATTAAAAAAATTTGGACCAAAATATCCTCGTATAAAAATTTATTATTTTTAATTTTTTTAATATTTTTTTATTTGTTTACCGGAAGACTTTTTGGAAGTCTTCCGGTTCACATTTTTTTTAGTATGTTTACCGGAAGACTTTTTGGAAGTCTTCCGTTAAATATTTTTTTCGTTTGTTTACCGGAAGACTTTTTGGAAGTCTTCCGGTTCATGTTTTTTTTTTAATTTGTAATTAATATTTAAGATTTATTAATTTTATATAAAGACCAATTTAGTAAATTTTTGAATATTATACTTAAAATATAAAAATTCTATAAATAGAGAATCATTTTCAGAATATTTTCTATTTACTATAATTATTAGAATACTAGGATTAAAATCATTTATTTTAAATGATCATAATAGTAGAATTTTCTCAAATATTTTATTAATCTTAAACATTAATAAATAAAATAAATTTAAATATAAGATATAAGTTTACATTATTCAATATATTTAATCAAATGAAAACATATGTGATAAATAAATAATGTATTTTAACTTAAAATGATCACAATAAGTTAACTTGCAAAATAATATAAGTAATAAATTAATAATGTATTTTATTTAAAATAATCACAATAATAAAATACCCAAATAATGTGTTTTATTTATAGGACTGATATAGTTTTATTGATTATTTAATTTTGAATACTACTATGAATATAGTATTTAATCTATACTTTAGAACTCACATAATTATAAATATAAAAAATATTGTTTTATTACCCATATTTTTATTTAATTAAAAAAAATAAGAATATAAATTTATTATTTGTTTTTCATTTTTGTTTGATCTTTTTAATTATTTCACTTTATTTAATATTTTTAATAAAATAAATAATATATTTTATTTAAAGTAAGCACAGTATAGAATATGCAAAAATTTATAAATAAAAAAAGATCAAACGAAAATATAGTAAATAGAAAATATTCTATTTATAGTAAATTGGTCATAGTATTCTAATAATTATAGTAAATAGTAATTTGATCTTTTTTTTTATTTATAAATTTTTTGCATATTCTATACTGTGCTTACTTTAAATAAAATATATTATTTATTTTATTAAAAATATTAAATAAAGTGAAATAATTAAAAAGATCAAACAAAAATGAAAAACAAATAATAAATTTATATTCTTATTTTTTTTAATTAAATAAAAATATGGGTAATAAAACAATATTTTTTATATTTATAATTATGTGAGTTCTAAAGTATAGATTAAATACTATATTCATAGTAGTATTCAAAATTAAATAATCAATAAAACTATATCAGTCCTATAAATAAAACACATTATTTGGGTATTTTATTATTGTGATTATTTTAAATAAAATACATTATTAATTTATTACTTATATTATTTTGCAAGTTAACTTATTGTGATCATTTTAAGTTAAAATACATTATTTATTTATCACATATGTTTTCATTTGATTAAATATATTGAATAATGTAAACTTATATATTATATTTAAATTTATTTTATTTGTTAATGTTTAAGATTAATAAGATATTTGAGAAAATTTTACTATTATGATCATTTAAAATAAATGATTTTAATCCTAGTATTCTAATAATTATAGTAAATAGAAAATATTCTGAAAATGATTCTCTATTTATAGAATTTTTATATTTTAAGTATAATATTCAAAAATTTACTAAATTGGTCTTTATATAAAATTAATAAATCTTAAATATTAATTACAAATTAAAAAAAAAACATGAACCGGAAGACTTCCAAAAAGTCTTCCGGTAAACAAACGAAAAAAAATATTTACCGGAAGACTTCCAAAAAGTCTTCCGGTAAACATACTAAAAAAATGTGAACCGGAAGACTTCCAAAAAGTCTTCCGGTAAACAAATAAAAAAATATTAAAAAAATTAAAAATAAAAAATTTTTATACGAGGATATTTTGGTCCAAATTTTTTTAATGTAGGGGTATAGGTATAAGTGTAGGGGTATGGGGTAAAACTTCCAAGAGATTTTCAGTCCAAGCCCAATCTATTTCATTTTGAAGAGGCCCATGATTCACTAAAACAAAAAATAAACGCATTTTAACGATTAAAACATCAAAGCAATTAAACTCGTCAGCTTGTACCATCATAAACAAGTTGATGTGTCGAACTGAACTCAACTGGCCGGTAAACGGAGACGGAGTTTGTCGTCGCCGCCACAAACTGTGAAAAACTTCTCCAGGTTTTCCTTCATTTTTTTTTCTTCCAAATTTTCACCGATACAATTCACGTCCTCAATTCCAAAGAATTACGTTGCATCAGATACCCACTCCTCACCGTGATTCCCCAATTATGCGCTAAACCGCTGCGATTGACAACTTAGGTTAAAATATTACTGTTGGTGAATTTTTTTCTTCAGTAGTAGTTGAATTGAATGATTACTAGAAATCTGTAAAATTGTTGTGTATAATAACAAGCTCTTTATGGTAATTCGTTCATGTATACATTTGATTGTGTGAAGTTTTTGTAAAGAATCTGATTCTGATGTAAAAAGGTTCCATAATTGAATAGTTTAAACAAAAGAATAGATTTTGATGGAAGATTTAGGATCTACCCGGTTTGATGGTATCAGCAATGCTGTGAGGAGGAAGAGAAGCCAAACTTCACGTAGGCCGCGACCGGACTCACAGCCTGTTCTTGATCCTGAAGATCGTGATTTGACTCCTTCTTCGTCGACACCTCCTTCGGAAGATCCTGACAAGCCGTCTAGCGATGAAAATGATGGTTTTGTTAATACTGGTTCCAAGAGAAAAGAATTTAATCTCAACCATTGTGTAACTCAGCCTTCGCCGGCTATTGGACGTAGTGGTTTACCCAATAGACGGAGTAGTGAAGGTGTTCTTGCTCCCGCTAATTGGAAAGGCTCTAGCAGTAAATTCAAGGATGGCTTTGATTCAGAGTCGAAAAATGCAGATGTTTATGGTGGGAGGAATCCTGAGGGTAATAGTTTGGGTCAGTTTGGTGTCTCTCAGGATGGATTAGGGAATGAGAATAGGGTTAAGAAGGTTAAACTCAAGGTAGGTGGTGTGACGCGTACTATACAAGCTAACTCTGCTTCCAATAGTGCTTCTGGAAGTGGATCAACTTCAAAAAGCTCTCGTTTATCGGATGTCTCCAGACCGCGCCAAAAGCAACAGGTAATTCTGTTATCGATATTAACTTGGCGTATATATCATTTGTATCTTTATAAGTTATTCATTATGTTAGAGACATAAGGCTGTTTAAGTGTTTTCACATCAATAACAACCTCTGCCTAAAAGCATAGTTTACCGTTGATGCCTTATACGGATATTGGCCATACGATATTTGGTGTTTCACAGCTATTTATTAGTTGACTTCTTATCAAATTTCATTTCGTTTCACAAGAATATCGAGGCGTATCGCATCCGACGTGTCTGTGAGAATGGTAGGGGTATTTAGATTTTACTTTTATGGAAAATATATTTAATCTTGATTTCTTGTCTATATATGTAGTACTTTCCGTTTTCATTTTTAACTTATAATCTCGTTTGATTGCATTCATCAAATTGCGTTATTACAGAGTAATTCAGACGATAATATTTCTCCGTCTGATAAGAGGCGCGGCCTCCAAGGCCTACCTTGGAAGGATTTCAAAAGAGGTGGTTTTGGTCTTGGGAAGGAGGAATCTTCGATGGGGAAGATATCCGGAAAGAACACGTCTAGCAAGCAAGCAGACAAGTCTGAACCTGTTCGTAAGAGCAAGAGAGTACCCAAGAGACGTGTCCTGGATGGGGAATTTGGTGATGACGATGATGCTGATGACGAGATTCGGTACTTGGAAAAGTTGAAAATATCAAAAGTTTCTGCAGTCTACAGAGATGAAGAAGAATTAAGCAAGAAACATCGAAAACTCTCTAGCGTCTCTAATATGGAGAATACTGCCTCAACAAGGTCAGGCAAAGATGGAAAGAAAAGGTCTAGATCTGATAAAATGCTTGAAGATACAGATTATGAGGGTGAAGAGGAGTCAGGGTCTGATGGAGAACTTGAGGATAAGAAAAAGAAAAAGCAGAGGAAAGAATCTGTTGATGTATTGATGGAGACTAAGAGGGAAATGACTCTTACAACGCGTCAACGGGCCCTTCAATCAAGCAAAGATACCTCTACATCTAATGCGAGTTTAATCGAGTTTCCCAATGGACTACCTCCCGCCCCACCTAGAAGTGAGTATTAATTGTACTATTTTCTTTTATCAATTTTATACCAGAGTCATTAACCATGTTGCTTGGCTACAGAGCAAAAGGAGAAGCCTACGGAAGAGGAGCTGCTATCAAAGAAAACTGAGGCTGCCAATAGACGTAAAATGCAAGTTGAGAAAGCTGCTAGGGAATCTGAGGTTTGTTTTTGTTCTTTCTAAATTACAGGTTTTTTTCTCTCATTATGTTCGATTTTACATTGGAAGGCATATACATTTAAATTTGTTTTATAGGCTGAAGCTATCAGAAAAATACTTGGTCAAGACTCCAGCAGAAAAAAGCGAGAGGATAAAATAAAGAAGCGCCAAGAAGAACTGGCACAGGTTTGGCAGCATTAAATGAATTTCCTACATTCTGTTTTTTTTTGTTGTTAGCTTTCAGTTATTATAAAATTGTTCTTTGCAGGAAAAGGCAGCCAACGCAGAAAAACTTGCATCAAATACCATCAGATATGTGATGAGTCCTACTGGAACAACGTTGACTTTTCCTGATGAAATGGGGATCCCTCCGATTTTAAACTCTAAGCCCATCAGGTATCAAGCTATGCTAATTTGATGCATGTGACCTGTTAAACCGTCTTCCTGGTAACTCGTTTATGAATGTTTGGCAAATTAGAAGAAAGGAAATGCGAATGACGAAAACTGATAAAATTTCGTGCTATTTACCAAAATATAAGTCTTAGTGTGTCTCTGGCTTTAGCTCTTTCCATGATTTTGTTAAGAATCAATGAGCAGAAGTTAGATATCCTTGTATGTATTGCGCTTTTGCTAATTTGATGTTGCAACCTGTTTGACTGTCTTCTTGAGAATTCTTTTTAATATGTTTGGCAAATCAAATTAGAAGGGATAAAAATTGATTTTAAGAATTGTGCTGTTCATTAAAAAAATTTAGTGCCTTTGCTAAGCTGATTCCCTGATTTTGACCATGATGAAGACTGATTAGATGTTAAGCTTGTCTGAAAAAACACATCAAAAGTTCCTTCTCTGCTAATGATATATCATTGAATATTGTTTCAGTTATCCTCCACCTCGCGAGAAGTGTGCTGGTCCATCATGTACAAATCCATATATATACCGGGATTCAAAAACCAAGCTTCCTCTTTGCAGTCTCCAATGCTACAAGGCTGTTCAGGAGAAGACTGCAGCTGAAACTATCAGCTAATTTTGTCCATACTCCTCCATTGTTGACTTCTACTAGTTATATGTCACCATTGGTATTTTTATCTATGATACAGGCTTTAGGCTAGAGCAATTACGCGTTGAGCGTTTGGTAGAGAGGTTTAATTGCGGAATATTCATTCCTCTATCATGATTTTTTTTTCAATGTTGGTTTTAGAGATTTTGTGATAATAGCATACAGTTGAGTGGAAACGGATACAGCATGCACAGGCCTATCTTGTTCCGTTTCTTATCCTAGCTTTTTTTAGTGGCAATGCTATTGCCAAAAAGAAGTCATTTTGGCAATAGCTTGCAATATGGAAGGTGAAAGGTACTTGTATAATTTATTTGAATGCACAACTTTAAAAAGAGTTGTTATTTTGATTATTCCAGTGCTCTCTATGTCAATAATGGTGGCGTATTTAGTGAAATGATACCATCTGTGTTTATATCTTAAGGGAGGAGCAGTTCTATATTAGAGCAACTATGTATTGTGTATTGCTCAATGTCAGAGCTTGAGATTTGTGGAGGGGATAACTGGTGGTCTGAGTTGCGGAAAAAAATGGATTCCATGTAGATTAGTTATAAAAAAATCCCTTAGGTGGATTTGTGGAGGGGGTTTGTTTCAAAGCTAGGAGGAAAAAGGAGCGAATGATTTTAAGGACCAGTTTAAGAGTTTAGGAAGAGGTGACTCAGAAAAAGAAATGAAAAAGCGAAACAGGAATGGTAGTTTTTTTTGAAAGACAAATAATTAAAGAAGAAAGAGTTCTAGCCATGAAAGCCTAAAAGCACATCCAAACCACAAAAACAGATAACTAAAGGAAGAGAAAAAAAGAAAGGAGGAAAAGCAAATCAGCAACCGTCTTAAGGTAGAACTAAGTTAAACCTCAGTCGAAAAGAACCATTATCAACAGAAAAACAACCTTCAAATCTAAGTCGAAAAGAACCATCATCAACAGAAAAAACAACCTCCATAATACCACCAAGAAAACTCCATAAATACCATCAAGAAAATTGAGGCTGCCAAGAAAACTCCATAAATAGCATCAAGAAAACTGAGGCAGCCAATAGACAAAAGGTATGATTCTTAAGGCAAACAGAAAAAGCATAAAGTCTCTCACATGTCTATTAAAATACCATTTTCAATATTGAAATATAATCTTATCTTTTGCGGTAGAGTAGCCTCAAAAACAATATTGTTTCAAAATTTAAAAATCGACCAAATCAAGCTAATCGGTTTGGTTTGATTCGATTTTTAGTGTTCTTAAAAATAGAAGTAAACCAAACTAAGCGGCTTGTTTCGGTTTGGTTTATTTCGGGTGATCTACAATATTTTTTTCAAACGTAATATTTATTTGTGTATTCTCCGTTGTTATGTTTTTCAATATATTTTCTGTTTTTATTTATTTAAATAATACATTTCATATAATTTGCTTTACTTTTTAAACAACTTACAAATTATTACTAAATCCATACAAAACACTAACATGATTTTCATTGCATCATAAAATAAATTTACTATCAAATACAAAAATTTGATAATTGTCAAATAAGTTCGTCATCACATACAAAAGTTGACTATTAAAAATGACTAATACAACCAAAATAAATTTAACATTAAATTCAAAAGTTGACACGAATAATAGATTGGATAAAAGTTTAAGAGGATAACTATAGTTATCAGTTCGGTTCATCGCTTCTTAAAAATTAAAATCGATAGCCGAATCGAACTACTTTGATTTTTGTTGATTTAGTTTTTGAACTGAACTAAAAAAATCATTTTTTTTTTCTGTTTAGTTTGATTTAAACTATCGATTTAATTAATTTTTTTTAATTCGTTTATACTCCTAGATACCTGACTCAACCATTCTCCCACTCACCAAACAAAAAAATACTCTTAGAATACACTAGCACCCTTCGCCTAACTAGAAGAGAACTTAACTATCTCAGATAAATACATTAAACGTAGCATCCTTTTTTCATTCTCTACGATTACACTATTTTTTTTTCAGGCTGAAAAAATTTAATAAAGGAAAAGATGATAAAAAGAAGACGGGGGATATATACCAAAACTCTTACAGTGATTAGAAAACCTAAAGAAAAGCAAACCTAATATATTCTTTACAAAATCTACCCAACAAGTCGAAGAAGATAGAATCAGTAATGATGAGACCTAGGTTATCGAGAGAGTCTGCGCAAATATTTTTTTCACTATAAATGTAAAAAACAACAAAATACATTTGAGTTGCTATATTAGCACAATTGATCCATTTAGTACAAACCTGCCAAAGCATCCTAAAATGAGGGTTGAAAGTCTTAACAACATAAATAAAGTCTGATTCTAACCAAAGATGCTTTTAGTCTTTCTCGTTGGCGAACTCAATGTCTGACATAGTTCCCAAGAGTCTAAAAATGAGAGAGTTTGAAACACCTAAAAAATGAGAGAAAACCCCAACAAAGTTACTCTTGTGATCTCTGAAAATACCACCACTACTGAGGTCCCCGAGTTAATCAAAGAAGCCCCATCACATTTGACTTTAATCCAACTCCAAGGAGAGGATTTCCAAATCACCTACACAATTTTGCGAGAATTAGTCAACCAAATTTTCACTTTAAAATTCTTTAGAACCTGCAAAACAGAAATGGGAAGGTACGGGCTAGCCTTAGAGCAGGAAAAAAAAACAAAACCAAATGCTGGAAATGAAAAAAGAAATGTGGACATAGTTTTTCTAAAATCTAACACTATTTTTTAAAATGTTTTTATGACAAGTTCATTCAAGAAAAAATATTTCTCTATTTTTACATAGTCTTCCCCTTACTTAAGAGGAACTGGAAAATGCTCCAAATATTTTTATCACTTTATTTTAGTATTATTATTATTATAAAATAATAATACTAAAGACACACTTTTTAATATTCTCTAAAATTAAATAACTAAATAAGTGTTATACTTAAAACATTTATTTGTTTTTTTTTATAGAAAAAATGAATTTAATTATACCCAAAAATAAAAAAATACAAGGTGATCGCTACAGGATCCAACCTAACTAAATAAGTTAAAAACGATTAGTGATTCTAAAGCTTAAGGTAGGGCATTATCAATATAGAAGTTTTCTCTCTAATATTAGGGTAGTTCCAACTTCTATACACAATTGTATCTATAATCTTTTCACCTATTTAAATATTATTTACTATTCTTCCATAGCTCATATCGTTCCTATACTGCCAAACTGAGTAGACTGCTTCGACTGCTGCACATTTAAGGAGGTTTGCTCTGCAACTTTTGCCCTTGTTGTTTGTTAATCACTTTAGCTCCTCCCTCCATTCACTCGAATTGTGATGAATTTGAAGCCAAACTAATACCTGTTTCCAGATCTTTTCTGGTTCATCACAATAAAAAAACAAGTGTTACACAGTTTTAGTTTGTTGACAGAAATTGCACTTATCATTATCAATCATACCATATTTGTATAACCTTGATTTTGTTCTAGCCTAGTGTGATTGTTGAAGGTATTGTGAGTTATTCAAGTGTTGTAACCGATTAACACAGGGGTGTAACCGATTACAACAAAGGCAGAAACACTTCTGAGTAACAGAAAAATGAAAATCTCAAAGGTGTAACCAGTTAAACTCGGACGTTAACCTATTACCACTAAATTTGTTATATTTTCATTGTCAGTTGTAACCGGTTACAGGCTCGAGTTTTGCAACTTTTTTATTATGTAATAGTTTGTTTTGGACCCCAATCAGTTTGTAATACTTGTATAAATGTGTTGGATGCATTCTCATCAAAGGTTAATGCAATATTTGTTATCACCCTCAATTCTCTCTCTCTCTCTCTCTCTCTCTCTCTCTCTCTCTCTCACACACACACACACACACACACTTTCTCTCTCTCTCTCTCTCTCTCTCTCTCTCTCTCTCTCTCTCTCTCACACACACACACACACACACACACACACACACACTTTCTCTCTCTCTCTCTCTCTCACACACACACACACACACACACACACACACACACACACACACATACACACACGCACACATGCACATACAGACACAAACACAATTTTCCTCTTTCAATATACACATTTCATTTTTCTCAACCCTTGTTCACTAATCTTGTGGTTCAAAGTTCCAACATTTAGCATCAAGAGTCTGTTTTTGGTCTCCAAACACCTAGTGTGCAACATGAATTCTGTTTCCAATGAAGGAATCCCTAAAAACCTATCTATCCTTGATGCAAAGAATTACGACAAATGGTGCAAGAAAATGAAAGTGTTGTTTGGCTACCAAGATGTTATTGAAATGATCAAGAATAGGGTGAATCCCCTTGTCTAAGGTGCAACAGATGCAACACAAGAAACACATAAGGAAAAGAAGAAGAAAGATTTCAAGGCGTTGTTTTGATCAATCAATGTGTAGATGGTGACGACTTTGAGAAAGTTGGTGATTGAGAATTGTCAAATCAAGCGTGAGAGAATGCCTATGCAGGGGATGACAAGGAAAAGGTGGCGAGGTTACACACTTTCAAGCATCAACTCAAATTGGTTCAAATGGAAAAAAAGGATACAATCAACGATTTTACAACAATAATGACTTGGTTGGTGAATCAAGTGAAGTCATGTGGAGAAACAATCATGGAGCAATATGTCGTCGCAAAAATCTTGCGTTCTTTAACACCAATATTTGAAAATGTAGTCGTAGCGATTGAGGAATCGAAGGATCGTGTGACAATGAGAAAAGAGGAGCTTCAAAGCTCTCTTGAGGCTCATAAGCAAAGGATGGAGGAGAGAAATAATGATAAGGAAAATGCAGAGATCGGTTTGCAAGCTCGCTTCAACAAGAAGGACAAGATATCGAAAGGAAAATGGCCCATGAAGAGTAAAGAGAATTTTTAGAATTTTGGTGAAAGAGAGTCCCAAAATTCCAAGAATTTAAATTGTCAAAGGGCTGAGAGCAGTTGCACCAAAAATGGCGGTCAAGGAAACTTTAGAGGTG